CTCTAAAACCCTTCATGTATCCAACCAATCATCATGTCTCTTAGCTTCAATATCAATCCCAACTCTTGATCAAGAACAACACGGAAATCCTACACAATAATCATGTCAGTTGTACAATATCAATATCAACTAAATAATAATACACAATTGTAAATATTACCAAAAGATGAGATCCTCATATACAAGCAATGTATACAGTTATAATATGCACTGATTAAATAAGAGGAAACTGAAGATTATTTAGTAATGAGCTAATTTTAGTTTATCAAAAATAGAAAGTCCTTCAGATGCTTCTTCAACTAGAACCTGATTCAGATACAACAAGTGTTGTCAATATGTTGACTTTATGGACATAAAATATTGATTAAAAGTACTTAAAAACTTACCATGGGTAATTTTGAAAGAGAAAAGTTCCCCTTTTTCTACTCCCTACATAAAAACTTAATTGGTGAAATATCAAATGTGACATAAACCCTTAAATCAAAATACACATCTGAAAAAAAAAATCCACCTGAAGGATGAGAAGGTGTGAGAGCATATGAAAGATAATGAGCAGTCACTCTAGATTACCACCTGAACTACTCGAAATTATTTGCAATATATTTTAGTTAAAAATCAACAAAGACTACCTAAAACCTACCAAAAATAACTTCTAATCATCATAAAATGTGAAACACCAACATTGTTTATATGTGGAATTAAAGAACATTGGAACGCACCTCCAAGAAGATTACCTCAGTAATTAACATTGTTGACAGCATAAAGGGTAGCCCCTGCAACCACTAGAACGTCGCCCTTGATAGGGCTACTTCCGCTTTCTAAAATTATACAAAAATACTAATTAGAAGTAGAGTTAAAACTATACATTGAATTCACATATTATACAAATCAGCACGTAACCACTGGTTGAAAATGAGATAATACATAACATATAAGTTATAACCATAGGAAATAAAGTCAAAAGAATAAAAAAACAAGCATAGGAAATAAAAAAAAAGTACCTGATCTGTTATATGGCACTTTAAGAATAGGTTCACCTTCTCCAATATCCACATCAAACACTCATTTACAAGTTTTTGTGGTATCAGTAAAAAAGAATAAAAAAAAGAAGCATGGGAAATAAAGTCAAAAGTCAAAAGGCTCACCATAATCATATTGTACTCCATGAAGAACTGGGCGCTTCATGCCATTGCCAACATCAGGCCCATCAGTTACTTCCCCTATCTAAAATAGGCAAAAGAAAATGCTAATCAATGAGAAATCTTATCATCACACCTAATGATTAGAATCAAATCATTTAGTGCATTAAACATCATTCAGAATAATACCTTATCCCATGTTTGATTCTGCATATTCCATGCATATACAACACCATTATAAACCGTTCCGGTTCCGTTTCCTACATTCCAAGAATCTCCGGTTCCAGAAAAATAGGGCGGATACCCGCTTAGGCTCACCCCTAAGTCCCAACCCGTCCAAAGAAAGCCATTTGAAATGGTTTTGGTCCCTAAAGTTAACATTCGTTAGTCCAAAAAAGAAATATAATGAATAAACGGTAATGGACTTGTACGAATATACAAGAACTTGACTCACAGTCATGAACATGTATCTCTTCTGATGCAAACCAGATACAATGAAAACTGTAGAGGAACTTTAATCGATCAGAATGACAGCATGGAATCTCTCAGTTTATATATTATGTTGCACGTGAAACACTTATGAGATCTGCCATCTCAATCTTCCTCACACATATAAGAACAACCTCAGGATCAACATCCCCAGTAACAGTTAATCTCCCATCTTCTGTATCCACATGGATTGTTTCAATGCCCTGATGTCCAGATAACGCATTTACCACCTTCTGTTTTTGACTTTGGCTGCCTAAGTTGACTTCCAGCACAATTTTCTAGAATGTACACTATAATCATCAAAGAAATATATAGAACCTCATAATATACTTGATTGTTATCAATCATGGTTTTTTTGGTATTCAGATATCAATCATGTTCGATGTTACATGTCCCAACAGTTGAAGATTTACTAGACAATATTGCTTCATAGTAACATATTGGAAATAAAATGTGGGGTATAATTATTAGTTAATGTCGAATTTACCTTCATCTGGCGACTAACATCATCAGTTAGCGATTTCAGTTTCTCCCCATGTGAGCTTGAAGTAGACTCCTGAATCTCATTAGGAACAAAGGCTTTTATACATGCTCGAACTCTCACCTTTTTCCTGAATAAATCACAACATCAACAATAGCCAGGTTATGTTTTCAAGACATGACAATTAAGTTGTAGAGTGAAAGTATAGGCAAACTCCATTAAATGTCTTGTGAATATTTAGAAGTTTAAGATGAATAACATACTCATATATGACGAAAGATTAAACTCCTCAATTCTATCTACCAAGCAATATAACGTTTAATCACCTTTTCTGTTGTAAAATACGACGGATACGAATTGACTTAAATAATATTAGCTCAATGCGGAATGGGATCAAAAATTATCAAAGCGTAATAATCACAACGTAATACGAATAAAATAAATAGAATAGAGACACAGGAATTTACGTGGAAACCCAAATCGGGAAAAAACCACGGGCGGAGGAAGCCGAGAAACAATTCACTATAATTTGCAGTGTTTACAGGGATTATGAAAGAGATTACAAATAGAGTGGGAGAGCTAAAATACACGGTGGTGTATAAGTATATATATTTAATGCTTTTCTATATATACTTTGATTTTTGGTTCGTGTGTTTATGATGAAAATGGCTTAGGCTATTTATAGCCAAAGGGAATGTAATATGAAAGGAAAAGAAAAAGAGTTTTTCATCCAAAAATTGCTGCGCCTTCTAATTTGACTTGTTTATACTGCGCCTCCATTGTTGACCCAAAAAGCATGCGCCTAATATTTACCAAACAAGTTGCCAATCCATATTACCGTCCATTCTCATTTTCAAACATTTCACACTTATATTACTATTCATAGTCAAACTATGAATAGTAAATGATAAGTTACAGAAATAACCCCTGAACTATTTGCCACTTGCTAATTTTGGAGGCAACATTTTCCACAATTTCTAGTTTTTTACGAAAGTTTAATATGAAAGCTTCTGCTCTCTCATCCAAATCACTTAATGAAAGGTCTGCATCTTCATTTTCATCATATGATTCTTCAGACATGTCCTCAGCCTGTAGGTCTGCATATTCATTTTCATCATATGCTTCTTCAGATTTGTCCTCAGCCTATAGGTTGTAAATGTGTACATTGATGGGTGTGAGTTAAATAAGTTAATGTTCAACACAAGGAAAAGTCAAACTCTTTTCTTTTATCCACTAAACTTAATTAATGTTTAATCACCTTTCTTGCTGTATAACTAGATTTAAACGATGTGGCAGATTTCCTTGTCACCCCAAATATCCTCGATGTGAGCTTCAAAGTTTTATCAAAAAAAGATATTTTTGGAATCTTGTAAAGGGTAAATTACACGGATGGTCCCTGTGGTTTGGGGAAACTTGCATGCTTAGTCCCTGAGCAAAAATTTTAACTCAGACGATCCCTAATATTAAAATTTGTAACCCGCCTGGTCCCTGCAACATCTGAAATGACTGTATTGCCCTTATTTATTTATTTCTTTTATTTTTCTGATTTATTATTATATAAAATAAATATAAAAATTAAAATTAAAAAAATTTCCTAAACCGCCTCATCTCTGCTTTTCTCCCTCTCCGATTAGAGCTCTCCCGCCACTATGCCATTGTCTGTTTCCTTCCTTCACATATGCAGATGAAATTAATTAGCCATGGTACAAATCCAGAAAAAAAAGACGCAGAGAAAATCTAGAAAAAGCCTAAAGAAATCAATTCAAAACCCTAGAAATCCCCAGATAAAACACAAATCCCCCGGCCACTATGCCACTATCTGTAATTCTACTTTATCCCCTACCATAAATATGAAGAACGCCACGCACCACCATCACGGGGTCGACCGTGAACGTAAGGAAGTAAGAAGAATCGATTTGTGAAATCCGTCTGGATATAAGAATATCGATTGAAGGCGGAGGTGAAGGACCGAGTGAAACAGAAACCATCCTAAAAACACATAAATGCTTCGAATTGTTTAGCTTTAAAACGCATGTGGCTTTTGATTTGGTTTCGAAAAACACAGGTGAATTTTGATTTGGTGTTGCTTTTGTCTTTAAATGTTTTGCTTCTTTTAATGTTCGGGTTTGATGTGGACTAGTCTCAATTTCATTATTGGTAGAGGATTTGAGTTCAAAATTTCATCAGAATCTTGTTGGGATATGTAGGGAAGAAGTTGAAGGACTTCAGATGGAGGAGGATAGATCGAGATCTGAGGATTTGGGTTGATTCCGGTCATATGGTGGTGCTAAGGGATTTCCACACCTCTATTTATCGATTTATTTCTCAGAAAAATCAATGGCAGTCATCGACAGGAACTGGGATTTCTATGGTAGCAATGGTGTCGATCGAACTTAGAGAAAGAGATGTAGAAGAAGGAAACATAAGGTTAGAAAAACGTGGGGTTTGGGATATAGTGGGGTGGGTTTTGGGGTTTTTTATTTTTTACAATATAAATAATTAATAAAATGTTTTTTTTTAAATACAAGGGTAATACAGTCTGTAGCAGGGACCAGGCGGGTTACAATCTTTAATACTAGGGATCGTCCGAGTTAAAAATCTTGCTCAGGGACTAAGCGTGCAAGTTTACCCAAACCACAGGGACCATCCGTGTAATTTACCCTCTTGTAAATTTCCTCCTATTTGATTTTCATAAACACAATAGTCAGATCCGCAAAACCAACTGCTATTATGTAATATGTCGCCCTTCATATTGTTCATTAATGAATTGATGCGGAAAAAAAATAAAAAATCTTAATTACCGGTTCAGGATAATCGATGATGCATCTAATAGTTCCCAGCTCTATAAATGAGGGATTTAACTGCTTAGGTTGACCTGTCTTTCTCCATCCTCATTCCCAACTCATCACAACAATCATGACATTAACTTTATCCCCAATTTTCAATGTGTTTCCAATTGGCCAATAACTAAACCATATACCAACTTTAGCAGAATCAGTTTTGCCAAAGACTTTGGGGTTGTACATCAACTCAACACCATTGGTCGTATTGATTTTACAGAACCATGCCCAATCATCATCACCTGATATTGTTGTATATTTGAAAGTTATATCAAGCCCTTTAAGCCTTCTATTCTTGGGACACGAAGGCACATCAAAGGACAAAGACGTTAATTCTGATACATACGTGGGCTTCATGTTTGGATTCGTTATGTCTGGAAGAGATGTGCTTATTATATCAAATTCATATAGCATCTGTAGTCACACACACATATATACATAATCAGTTTTTGCTTGTGATTGTGTTTGTGTTTGGGAGAAAAGAAATTAAAAAAAAACTAACCTGGAGAAACGAGCTTCTGCCTTTGGTAAGTTCATCATCACCAATCAGGGACACCTCTTGATTTTGATATTCTTTTAGCCACTTCATGCGTCCCAAATCATTATCTTCAAGTTTTGCTAAAGGCACCAATTTGATAAAGCCTTCTATTTCACACAAACTAATACAACCTTAATAGCCCAACTCTTGCAATGTGAATCGATGTGATTCAAAATTTATTTTCTCCAGTGACGTACAGTAGTATATATACAATTCTGTAAGTGTACTTGGGAGAGATATAAGCGATTTAAGCCTTGAGCATAAACTCAAGTCCAGAACCCGAAGATTTTTAAGATGATTATAACTAGGAAGAAACTCAAACAAACTATTGCAATGAAATCGAACCGGAAGGTGAAGTAGGTGCGACTTCATCCAAGTTCTCATCATCATCTGAATCATTTAGGGATTTAAATCTCGGTTTTTCTATTAGGCATTTTAGGGATGATGTGCTAGGGTTTTTCCAGGATGATGATGTAGGTAGGGTTCGAAATCAAGTTGAATAATTGGGGATTTATATGAATGACTGAAATGTGAAGCAGCGATTTTCATGTTGCAAATTTTGTGAATGAATAAGAAGATGATTATGGTGAAAAATAAGGGAGGGAGTGAAAGGTAGGAGAAAGGTAGCAATTGTGGATCAATTTCATGACGTTTAACCACTCATCGTAGTTATCTTCCATCCCTAAAGTCACCGATGTGGTGTCTTTTTTTCTTTGGAGCCACCGTCGTTGCCCTATTCTTTCCCTCGAGCCACCATCTCAAATATTTTCAACCTTTTTGTCGTTTTGAGAGAGAGATCGAAATGGAGAAATGGAGATATTACCTAAACAAAAGAATTCTGAAAAAAGCCCTAGAGTGTGATAACTTATGGAATTCACAAAGCTTCGTTAAGCCAAACCATGGAAAAGAGAAAAGTAGAAACGAATGAAGATGAGAACAAGGCGGGGTTTTCTAATTTGTGGGGATTTCGTTTCCCGCTTAGCTCTTAAAGGATGAAAACGCGCGTTCCATTAAAATTTATAAAGCAACATCCTTAGACGACACGCATTTTATTATAGGTGCCCTCCGTGTTTTTTTTAGACACTAATTTAAGGGCGCACAATAATGCGCGACATAAATCCTTAAATTTTTTTGAAGAGATGACACTTTTTTAATGACACTCTCTTTTGCGTAACATAAATCAATGAGTGTCGTGGTTTGCGCGTCGTAAAAGGGTCTTTTTCTTGTAGTGTATATTCGACGGTTTATTTAACTTAAATTTTATATAACTTATATACACTGGGTGATTATAGAAGGAATCAACAGGTCTTTCTAGGGTACATTATTGCAAAACGTAGGAGCATTCATGTCACACTTACTAAAGAAAATATTGGATTTTCTGGAATCATACTCTATCACTTTTACAAGGAAAACGACTTCTTTCTCAAATAAAACTCTTATGAACTCACCAACTTAATTGTTGACACTCTTTCCAAAACTACTTGTATTCTCAGGAAATCAGTGAAACAGGAAATCAACAGCTTTTGAGGATGGGACGTTAAAACGTCAAACATTTCATTTTTGTCATCATAAGTGTAATTGATTGGAAACATGTAAACACATACTATGGTATAACTTTTTCAGTTATATTTATGATGGTTGTATTTACTTTGAGTACTATTATACTCGTTGTTGTGATACTATACATGAAGTCCTCCACCCCCGGACGTTTCCGCCATCCTTGGTTTGGGGGTGTGACAATTTCGGAGTGTATACCCTCAGAGTTATACATAATTGAGATTTTATAGACTTAGAATCTATGATCTTCGCTCTACTTCCTGTTCCTTGATTGGTTGTGGACTTAGAGTAGGATCACTTATTCGAAGGTCTATTTGATCTTGGTTATGTATAATCGGTATACACTACGTAATTATAGAAGGACCCGGTGAAGATCACTATAAAAATCATTAAACAAAACCTTATTCCGTTCGGAGTGGACTAGGAAATACCGTATGTATCATGCTGGGAAACTAATATATCCTAGAGAGTCAGTGGCTACACTACTCGCGCTATGCTACCGTACCTTACATCTTTACTAGCAGCAGTAAAAACAGAAGAAATACTCCCTTCCAGAGCCATAAAAATCGACTCTCTTAAAAATCAGTATCGATACTCGATTTTAGTCGAACTAAATTCTAGATAAAATACCTATTTCTTCTCTCTACCACAAGTACATCATGGGAATGTAATATGAGACATTAAAAATCGTATATCAAAACAAGAAATTTATGCATGTATATGGGTTACATCTAGAAACAACTATTGTTACTTACCAGCTTATTTCATACATTGTAACAGAATCATGCTTCCGCATGGAAATAACCAGTCAACCAACAAAACACCATTCCTACAGATAGACTCTGCTACCTTTCAAGTTGCGGTTTCAGCCGCCGTGTCCGCCGTTATGGCACATCTCAATGCAAATAACACTAGTAAAAATGGAAGTGGTATAGGCAATTCAAACCGTAGTAACAACCAAGGAAATCGACAAGTAGCTACCTATAAGAATCCTTCAACTCACAAATCTAAGATCAATAAACGAAAGTTCTAGAACAAAAAGAAGAGCGGGGTATCTCCAAAATTTGCCAGGAGGCAGCAAACTGCGGCAACCCCTGCAACCACAACATCTACTACCCCAACACCAACGCCAGTGCGCCAATATGCTGGAAATATTCCAAACTGCAACAAGTGCAACTACCATCATACCGGAGCCTGCCGAGTGTTGCATTGCTTTGGGTGCAACAAAAATGGGCATACTTTCCCTTTTTGTAGAAACCCAGCCCAACACATCACTTCAACCACCGATGCTAGTAGCAGTCAGATATGTCATGCATGTGGTGAATTAGGGCATTTCAAGAGAGATTGTCCAACAGAGAAGAATGACGGAGGAGTAGGAGGTGTTTAGCAACGGGACGTGGCGAAACAACAAGGAACCCTACTAGAATTTTTGGTACGTATCCTAACAACGATAATTTAACACCAAATTTTACTCTAAAAATTCCGGCATTTAAGGCAAAAACTCATAAATTATTCCCTCGCCCAAATAAACCCAATCATCTATATGAAAGATAAGGACCCTCGCATGTGAGCTAGTACGACTTAGCGTATACCTCAGGGTCATCTATAAGTAAGATTTATAGACTTAGAGTGAGTGATTCCGCCTTATTTCCTGTTCCTTGTTTGGTTGTGGAATTAGGGCAGCATCGCTCAGTCGACGGTATTTCAAATCTTAATTATGCGTGACTGGTATACCCCAAGTAATAATAAATACACCCGATAGGGATTCTATTCTAAAAAGGGCATCATTTTCAACTTCTCAAAACTCACGTACTATTAGTACTCACTAAGAAACAATACACAAATGTTCACAGTACTAATAACAAAAGGAAAAACTGAAAACACCGAGAACATATACAAGGGAGGCATTACCGTCTAACAAACGTTCCTTCCGGATCAAGTTAATACCTAAGAGATCCCGACGTCATCATTCAAACTCAATTGGCTTGGTCCTCACCATACCAATTGTGTGTTCTACGGATTTCATATTTGCTTTAACTAGCCGACTAACAAAGCCATAATCACTCATAGCGGTGAACCCGACGCAAACCCCAGAATCATCGCCTGCCTCAAACCTTCGAAGTACTCGTGTGAGGAGTACCACACTTTTCGTAGTTTTCCTCAACAAACCTTTCAAGAATACCACACGTATAGCAAGTCAACTTCGAGGGTAGTGATAGGTGGGCCATACGGTTAACTATCACCACTTGGGACATGCATCAGGGTGGTATATAACTAGGATCCTACGGATTTCGGATGTGTGATTCCACCTTATCTCATGTTCCTTGTTTGGTTGTGGACTTGAGGCAGAATCACCTAGATGAAAATCTAACCGATCTTAACTATATACGACTTAAATACACTAAGTGATGATAGGGGAACCAGGTATAAGAACCTACCACGACTTCAGGACCCAGCCGCCGGGATTACGGATGAACTGGACACCATTAAGGTAATCATTAATAGATTAACCAAAACCGCACGCACCCCACGAGTAAAAGAGACAAACGAAATAGAGAAACCGAAAAGGACTTACATTAAGGAAAATTGTAAGACTACACGGAGTACCGATATCCATTATCTCCGTTGGGGATAGTAAATGTACATCACATTTCTGACAGTCGCTACACGAACCTACTGGGACTAGATTTGGACATGTGTACAGCCTACCACCCACAGACCGACGGACAGAAACCAAGGACCATTCAAACGCTAGAGGACATGCTAAGAGCTTGTGTGATAGACTTTGGTAAAGCTTAGGATGCTTATTTACCCCTTATCGAATTCTCATACAATAATAGTTATCACACTAGCATCAAAGTTGCTCCGTTCGAAGCCCTCTATGGCCGTAAGTGCAGATCACCCCTGTGTTGGGCTGAGGTGGGCGATACGCAACTAGCAAGAGGGAAAGTTCCTAATAGCGCACTCATTGGCCTGGAGATCATAAGGGAAACAACCGAAAAGATCGTCCAAATTCGAGAACGAATAAAGGCTTCGCAAGACCGACAAAAGAGCTACGCGGATAAGAGACGGAAGCCTTTGGAGTTCCAAGTTGGGGATCGAGTACTACTGAAAGTATCACCTTGGAAGGGATTAATACGTTTTGGAAAACGTGGGAAATTAAATCCAAGGTATATCGGACCGTTCGAAATCCTCGCCAGGATTGGCCCGGTGGCATACAAGCTACGATTACCACAGGAACTCAACAACGTTCATCCTACCTTTCATATGTCCAACTTAAAGAAATGTTTGTCTGATGAGACCCTTTTCATTCCTTTGGAAGAAATTGAGATCAATGAGAACCTCCACTTTGTAGAGGAACCTGTTGAAATCATGGATCGAGAGGTCAAATCGACGAAACAAAGCCGCATTCCCATCGTAAAGGTCCGCTGGAACGCCAAGCGAGGACCCGAATTTACTTGGGAACGTGAGGACCAAATGAAGCAAAAGTATCC